TCCGTAAGTCCAAATAGGTCTTATTGTAGTCATGTATATGAGTCGTTTGTAATTGATTGAAAGCTTAGAGCATTTGTCTAGTAAGTGTTGGAGAAGTAGAAAACGTCGAGCGGTCTCTTGTTGTTTCAGAATTGTATGAGGTTCATGTGAGTCGTTTGTCCAAGTAGAGTCCTAGGTAACGGAAGATTTTGCCCATAATGGGTAAAAGAGAGATAGGACGGTAAGAGGATGGGTATTCTGGCGGCTTTGTGGGTTTGGGTATCATTTTGACAATGGATAGTTTCCAATATATATATATATATATATATATATATATATATATATATATATATATATATATATATATATATATATAGGTGAGGAATAATACGGCTTTCTGAGGAAGCAGTTTTAGGATCTGGAATGTGATTAAGTCATGGCTAGGAGCTTTGTGGGAAGGTAATCTGTGTATGATATTGGATATTTCTGAAGGATGAAATACTTTAGGTGGAAGGGTCAATTGGAGTGGGATATCAAGTTCTGCTTCAATATACTCAAAGTGGATTGGATTTAGGATATCTGAGTGTGGAATAAATGTTTTGAAAAGGTGCTGAGCAAATATTTGAGATTTTTCTTCACGAGATCTGGACCAGGTTTGAGGTTCAGTAATAAGTGGGTGGTTAAAATCTTTAAATTTTAAGTGATTTGTCAGTAGTTGTAAGATTTTCTGTTAAGTTGAGTAAATTTTGGATTTCGTATTTTCTAATTTCAGCTTTTAGTTGGTTAGTTAACTTTTTGTAATATGACTTGTCTGATAGGTATCTAGTCCTATTCCATTTTGATCTTGCTCTGCGTTTTTCCCTTAATAAGATACGAATGTGCTGAGGCAAATTAGTCTGTTGGGAGTTGTTATTTTTATTGGTTATCGGTTGGTTTATTGGTGTTATCGTTAATTTTGTCGCTTATAGAGGTAGTAAGTACCTCTATGTCTGAGTCAATGTCATGTTTCGTCTTAAGTGGAATATTTAGGTCCAATTTATCTTCCAAGTCTTTACGAAATTTGTCCCAGTTTACTCGTCCTGTAATAAGTGAAGGAGAAAAGGAGGGCTTACGAACGAAGGTTGAGTGTAATGAAAGCAGAACTGGACTATGATCTGAGGAGAGGTCATCCAGGGATTTGATAGTGACGTAGGAAGAGGAAATCTGGGAGGTGACAAATATGTCCAAGATAGAGGAGGTTGGCCAATAGGTATGATTCATAGGAGAGAGGATGGAGTAACTATTAGAAGTTGAGACAGAAGATAGTATATTACCACGGGAGTTGGATGCTCGACAACCCCATCGTTGGTGTTTAGCGTTATAGTCTCCTCCAGCAATAAAGCGCGATCCGAAGGATTGGAATAAGGATTCAAACAGATTGTTGGTAAATGGAAGTGTTAAATGGAAGGACGAGTTGAAATCATTACGGAGGTTGCTTGAATAGCCTCAGTTGGAGTAAAAGGAATGAGGGAATGGGATAAGGATTTATGGATAAGGATGCAAGAACCGGCATGGGAAGTGTTGTCGGGGTGGTATGATCTATAAGTGATGTAGTCACGTATGTAGAAATATGAACGTTGAGTGAAGTGAGTTTCTGTCAGTAGAGCAATATCAATGTGGTTGTCATGAAGAAAAATGTCAAGGTTGCCTCAGTGGTTTTGTAGTCCGTTAGCATTCCGTAAAAGAACAGCTAGGGGCTTTGTGCTCATCGTGGGAGATTAAAGGGAATTTTGGTAAGGATTCTTGTGAGGAGGGTTATTAGTGGCTTGATGGTATCTTGGAGATCTTTCAGGAAGGAGTCAAGGGCGGAGTGAATTAAGTCGATCATTTTTTGTTGGTCAGCTGGAATTCGTGAGGGATAGCTTTTATGATAAGGAGTGTCTGATGGATGATGTACCCGTCGTGATGTACGAGAGGCTGAATCATAATTAGATGGAATTTGGGAAGGAGAGTTAATGTGAGGAATAGGATGGGAATGAACTGGAATTGGATCTTCAGGCGGTAGTTTGACACGTAGAGGTATCTGATAAGGAGAGATTGACTGACGTGGTGATTTTGAGTGCATGTGGGAGGTCTGAGTCTTGGATTGGGAAATCTGGAGCTTAAGTTTGGAAGCCTGGGTCTTTGGTTTGGAAGACTGAGGCGTCTGACGTCGCGGTTGCTGGTTCTTCAGTGTGGAATCAAAATGTAGTTGTCAGGTGTCCTGATGGGGATGATTTGTTGATGTAGAAGGCTGTTGTGTAAATCGTGGTGCTATTTCGTTCGGTAATTCAGGAAACGTTGCCAAACTTTGTTAGTTCGGGTGCCTGTGCCTGGATAGGATTCTTCTGTTCTTGGGTTTTTAAATATATGTTATAAGTCCTTTGCTTATATAGCCTCTTGTAAACAATGCGGCCCCGATAGCTTGCAGGGTGGTCCTCACCACAAAGGACACATTTTGCTGGTTTATTTAAAGGTTTCTGACATATATCAGAGGCGTGAGAACCGGCATATTTGACACACCGCGCCGAGTGATGGCAGTAGGCCTTTGTGTGCCCTAAGTTTTGACACTTGGTGCATTGCACGACTATTGGTTTCTGCTTCGGTTCTTCAAATTTTACTGTTGAATAAAGTAGTCTTTTAACTTCGAAGATTTCAGAATTATTCCGGGCTGGTTCTAAATCGTTAAAAAATAATGGAAGTGGGTATTTATCGATTGGATGTAAAACAGAAGATATATGTCTTACATTGTGGCCGATATCTTCTAGATCTTCTTTTATAGCGGTAATGGTAGTGGTTGAGTGAAGACCTCTCAAAACGACCCTATATGTTTTTTCCTCTTTTAATTGATAGCAGTGGAAGTCATAATTGTGTGATGTCAAGTGATTTATAAGCTTTTTATAGTCATCTTTGGTGTTGGTATTGATTTTTATGTCGTTGATACGAGAAAAACAACGGAAATTGGTCTGTCCGATTAGATTAGCTAATTCTTGACCGAACTGCATGAAGTTTTCAATTTTGCTTACATGTATGGGTGGTGGCTCTGGTTCAGTGAAAGTTTGAATAATTTCGATATTTTTATTATTGGCGACAACAGAATTGTTGCTGGATGTACTAGTAGGTGGTTTAGTTTCAGCTTTCATAATTGAATTATTTTTAGAGTTTGTTTATTTTGGTCTACTTTAAGTGGCTGCTTTGATTTAGCGGATTTATTTTATTTTTTATTTTGGTGAGTTACCAGCCGACCCGGGAGAGAGTTTCTGTTGCGCTTGTGTAGAGTTCGCCTGGTTAAATATTGAAAATCAGTCTCACTGATTTCGGAGAAGGGAGTCTCTTCATCTGATTCGTCACATGAAATGTTTCTCTCAGGTTCCATACCTCTAAATAATATATACAAAAAAAAAAAAAAAAGAAGAGAAAGTAAAAAAAATATAATAAAAATATACAAAATAAATACTTAATAACTAATCTATTTACAAAGCTATATACAATATTAAATAAAACATTTTCTGTAAATAAATAAATAAAAGTCTAGTAAAAAAAATATAAACAATGAACAGTAAGAAGAGAGAGAGAAAAAAAAATTATATACACTGTCTTAGGTACGAACTCACAATTTTCTGACGTAAAACCAAGCGCCGTGGCCGTGAACTTGAAAGATATGACCCGCTGAGGGGAATTATCTGCCACGTAAACGGTCTCTACCAGACGAGTATCAATTTAATGTCACTAATTGTTACTAAAAAGTCACTCACCTCATTAATTATAACGTAAAAATGTTTAACTGTTTATAAACACTCTGTTTACAAAGTCTCAGTAAGGGATTTAAGATAACAACCAGATGACAATGTAACAAAGACAGAACGATATGAATATTGAACTGCAGTTGCGTCCATGACACTTATATCAAAAATAAATTTAACAAATCTTGAAACCATGAAGAAACTTCCAAACCCAGAAGAGGACCTGCTAAAAAAGTGGACCCTAAAGTTTCTTTCTCTCAGTTACTTGGATTTAGAGAAACAACTGATAAATGTGAGGTCCTGCAACAACCCCAATATCAACGTCAACATCCTATCACTCCTAATGAACAACACCCTCAACAATCTCATCAACATCAAATTTCTCATATTCCACCTCCCTCATATCACATACCTTATCAGTCTGTTGGCATCTTTCCCCACTGAACTGAAATTCATTGAACATCAATCTTACAAATATATATATATATATATATATATATATATATATATATATATATATATATATATATATATATATATATAGGGATTATAACAATGAAAACAATGTTGATTCTACTGTTAATTCAAAATTGTTTTTATGTTGCTTACCTTGCAAATATGTAAGCACACGAACATCAATTTACCTATAACTTTATCATATTATATGTATATTTAGAATTAGAATATTATTATAATTAGAATAGAATGTATATTAGAATTCATTTTAATGTTATAAAATTTTGTAACCTAAGTATTATTTGTTTGCCATTATGTGAAAGACAATCTATATTATAATGTAATTATCATTGTACATGTTTGTCATTCTTAGGGCACTAAACGTCGAAGAGTAAAATTTACTTTCTTCTTCTAAAATTCTTCACCTATGATTTAAAACAATATCATAATACGCCAATATTTCTCCAATGTGTAAACGAAGGTGTTGGCATTGAAATGTAGATCTTGTATTTTTAATTTGTTTAAAAAAAATAAGAAGTTTTTTCTTAATTTAAACAACTGTCAGACATTATACATCAGCATACAATTTCAAACGTTAAATTATATTTTTCATAACTATGAATATATAATCTGTCACCTTTAAGCACTTTCCCTTTCAATCGTAAACGACCTAATATTAGAGTTTACTGAAAATACGTTCAAGCAACCTACTTTAATTTGAATCATATTATAAGTTTATGAATATGAATATTAAATACAACTATTTAAATTTAATCTATCTTCATAAATACACTATTTTTGTAGGAGCATTCTGATACTGAATGGAAATTCGCACGTACCAAACTATGGCTAAGCTATTTTGAAGAATCGGCAACATTGCCTCCACCATTTAATATTTTTCCTACTCCAAAAATGTTTATGAAGCTTCTCGGTATAAGAAGAAAAGACAAAATGCGAAGGATGTCAACTAAGGTAATAATTTGTATTATTTTTGTTTATATGAACTATTATAAATAATTACCAGATTTCATGTTGAAGAAATTGAAAAACGTGATGTGAAAAACTGAAAATGTTCAAAATGGAGTACAGAGCACCTTAAACATACAAAACAGGGCTGTCGGATGTCATCACCTCCGGGGATATGACAGCTTCTTGACAGCGTAAGATGAAGATAAAGCCGGAAAATGTCAAATACCTTTCTGAAACATTGACTCCTCATTCGGAATCTCGTCCCACCCATATAGTGTTGCCAAATGCGAGACCAAGGAGAGTCTTGGTCTTGCGCAGTCAGTGTTGGTCTTGGTCTTGGTCTTACGCAGTTAGTCATGGTCTTGGTCTTGGCCTTGCGTAAGACTCGCAACATTCTTGCAATTCTCTATTACCTTATTACTATAGAGATATTACAGTAATTTTTTAGATAAGAGAAACCTAACTAATCCCGAATGATAAATTAGAAGAGTTAAATGCAAAAGTGTATTTGTTATACCAATTGTTTACATTTAGTAACTGAAATTGTCAGATAACATGTGCTATTTTGCCTTAATTTTTATTCAAAAATCATTTTTTTTTTTTACCAATCTTGGGCTTAGTCTTGCTAAGTGCAAGTCTCAAACCGATTTTCGGCCACACTACACCCACACCACAACAATCGAAGAATTCCTTACATTACCTACCCTCCTTACCACCAAAAGCAGTTAATCCTTCTGAAGTCAAACATCATCTTAAAAAACTAATTCCCCGTCAGATCCTTCGAAAACTTCTTCTCAAAGCTGCCTTATTCCTCGCTTACATATACAATAGCATCCTACGAATAACTTACTTTCTTCTATGGAAACATTCTACTATTATCCTTATCCTAAATTCCAGCAAACCTTCCAACAGCTTTACATCATATAGACTTTTTTTTTTTCATTCTGCCTAACCATTTCTGGCATACGGGTTTTTCAGCAGCGAAGGTATTGCACGCAGATCCCAGCGCATGGCACTGCCGCCGATACAACTCTCTTTATTTCGTGTAAATATTTAGAAACAACAGAAACAGGTATTCTTTGGTGTAGCCCGGTACTTGGCTGCGCACCTTCCGATGGGGCTATACCTTTTTCTTCTTTTTTTTATTTGTTTTATATATATATATATATATATATATATATATATATATATATATATATATATATATATTCTTTTTCTATCGTTTTCTTCACTCCTCTGGGTCCGTTGTCCTTTGGAGTGCCAATTCTTCCCCTTCCTCTGCCGGGCGCTTTCTTCCCAAGTTGAAGTGCGTAGAGCCCACCACTTCCTTCCACCTCTTCACGTACTCCGCGAAGTGAGGGTAGTTATCCTCCACCATCAGTGCTTGGAAACCTTCTTCTGAATTACAACCACAAGCAGTTATTTCTTCTGAAGTCATTTTTTTTTCGAAACAAAGGGACTAGTTACTGTAAACGTATCACATGAAAAAAAAGAAATCAAAGGAGATGTTTATATCTTCCCGAAGGGGCATGCAACCTTACTTGGTAGACTGTGGATTTAATTGAAAGATCTGGACTATGCCGCTGGGCTTACAGGGCAACCTTCTACAGTTAAATCTATCAACTCAATAATCAATGAAATTATGCATGAGTTTCCAGAGGTTTTCGAGAAGAAAATAGGATGTGTTCCTGGTGTTCAAATCACCTTGAAATTACACAAAGATGTGAAACCCATTTTGCAAAGGAGCAAGGGACGTGTAGGGACCCGTACGCTCTGAGGGATTGCGTTGAAAAAGAACGGGAGACTGAGGGATACGATTATGCGTCGACTATGAATTCGGGGTTAATGAAAGGCTTGTAAATACAAAATACACAATCAAGCGAATCATCGAGGTTTTAAATAACCTGCGGAATTCTAAGTTTTTCTGCAAGCCCAGATGGATGAAGATAGTGCTAAGATCCAGACTACTTTGACCCATGCAAGATGAAGCGTCTCAGTTTTGGTCTAAAAAAATAAGCCAACTGAATTCAATAAACATATGGCACAAATACTTAGGGGGCTATTTTGCGTAATTTTTATTTTGACGATTTCTTTGTTCATGGTCCTACATTTTTTTTTATTATATATATTTTTTTTAATCTGGTTATTGAGAAATAATACATTTTGCCACACTTAAGGGCACTGAGTACTAAGGCTGAGTGTGATACATTCATACCATATATACAATGTAATAAAAAAAATATACATCTATATAACAAAGGCACAAACTATAATAAACCAAGGAAATGTAACTTAGAGTTAACAGTAAATAAAATTCAGAAATTCGTAGCAAAATTAAATAAATTATAACTAAAAGAAATAAATAGAAAAACATTCATACTTAATTACAATATTTACTATCAGGCAAGAGATCTCCGTATCCAGCCCTTTCCCCCAAGTGTCAAAGGCAAAAAGACTAAGAGATCCCAGCGCTTCTCTCTCAACCGCGTCGCCGGCATTACCAGTCCGGTGGAGACTGAGAGAGGGCACTAAAACCCCAAACAGATCAATGAATTGAGTAGAGAAGCTGGCCATTGCCAGAACTCCAGTGACGTCATTACAAGAGATCTTGAGGCCACTGCCGTTTCAACCTTCGAGGAGGATTATAGGGATGACTGGAGCTAGATAAGTGCTAAAGGGTTAGGATGGTGGATTAGGTTCATGTGAAAATTTGAGAATCGGGATGGAATAATGTCAAGGACATAAGGGATGTAAAGGTCATGTAGGGTTTTGTTTGTAACATAATAAGGAGCATTGACTACTATACGGAGGACTTTAGACTGAAAGGATTGGATGCGTTTGATGATCGAAAATTTAGTTGCCCCCCACAGTTCCGTAGGTCCAGATGGGTTCGAGTATGGTCTTGTATATTAATAATTTGTTTTCTATTGAGAGATTGGATTTTCTGTTAAGTAGTCTGTATAGCTGGCCAAATCGTCGGTTAGGTTCTTGTCTTTTAAGTCTGGTATGTGGGTTACAATTTAGTCTTTTGTATAAAAGGAATCCAAGATACCGAACTGCGTCTAAGACGAGGAGAGGTACTGAGTTGAAAAGGATATGTGGACAGGATCTGCATCGGAGGGTAAAGGTGACGTGCTTGCATTTGGATTCATTGATCTTAGTGCGCCAATTGTTGCACCATTGCCCAACTAGGGAGATGTGTCTTTGTGATATGCTGTTTCAGGATCTGAGTGGGATGACAGAATGGCGGTATCATCAGCGAAAGTTGCTAGCAGGGTATCGGGATTGGTTGGAATGTCAGCGGTGAAGAGGATGAAGTGAACTGGGCCCAAGACAATGCCTTGTGGAACACCAGCCTCAATCGGATAATAGATGGAGAATTCAGTGCCGCAGGGGACTTGAAAGGTAGGATTTGAGGACTAGGTACGAGGATTGGGGTAAGTGAGTTTTGAGCTTGAAAAGCAAGCCATCATGCCACACCCGGTCGAAAGCTGCGCTACATCCAGAAAGGCACCTGTGCAATATTACTTGTTTTCAAGCGCAGAGGATATATGGTCAACAACCGGAAGATCTTGTTGAATAGAGGAATGTCTTGAGCGGAATCCAAACTGATGGGATGGGATATTGTATAAGGATCTGGGAAGTAAGGAGATCGTGTCCAGGGGATTTTCGAGGTTTTAGGTTGCTTATAATGAATTTTACCTCAGAGGGGTTGACAGCTATAGGAGGCAAGGAAAGAGGAATAGGAGAAGAAAGGAATTCTTTAACTAAAGCAGTGAGGGTGGAATGGAGTTCGGGGTGGGGAGTGAATGTTTTGGATAGGTGTTTGGCCAATTCTTCAGCTCTAGTCTCATCTGACGAAGCCCAGGTTCCATCATCGCATCGGAGGGAATGCTTCTGCTACTGTTTGGCGGAAAAGGTCCCAGTTGACTGGGCCTCTGATGAATGAGGGAGGAGATAATTTAGGGATAGGAGATGCGGAAAGGGTTAGGTTTAGCGGACTGTGATCATCAAGGTGGTGTGAGGAAAGATCGTCAAGCCGTAAAACTGAATAATTTAACGGCCCTAGACCTTTGTGAATGAAGAAGTCAAGGAGGTCAGGGTCACGGTTAGGATCTGTTGGCCAGTATGTAGGAGTATCAGGGGAAGGGGTGTGGAGTTAAGTGCAGACGTCAATGAGTTGGTGGTTCTAGCTCCCTATTGCTAAAGTTCCCACCAACAGAGTCGAACCTCAATACTAAGACGGCCAATGATGTGATTGAGGAGAATCGACTGAGATGGCTAGGACATCTTCTGCGGATGGTACCAAACAGAATAGCTAGCGAAAGCTATCGATCTAAAGTAGACGGCAAGAGAGGAAGAGGGCGGCCTAGAAGGAAATGGGAAGATGAAGTAAAGAGCGATTTCCAGAGAAGAGGTCTTCAATGGAACAATAGAAGGCGTCTTGTTAAATACCGGCAGAGCTGGAGAAGGCTCTATAAACTTCCTCCTCACACTGCTCAATGCGGTTCAAGAGGATAGATTATGATGATGAAGATATTTATAGTTATTTCTCTCTTATTTGTATATATTGTATGAATGAGATCTTTTAGCCTTAATACTTTTAGCCCTCCAACTTTATTTTTAATTTGTTATTCAATAAATTAAAAATAATCATAAAATCAATTTTCTATTGTTTAATTATTTATATTATTTCTCTTTTACATATTGCAGGAACCCCATATGAACTACATAGGAAATACATATTGTAGGAATGAATTGAATGAATAACCCAAATACTTATTGCCCTTCAATTTGGCAAATTGTATTTTTATTCCAAAAACGTGTTACAATCTGAAGAAAAAAAAACATATATAATTGACCTATCATTTGTTTGATTTTTATGCATATAAGTTTTTATATAAATGTACAAGCTCTCTATGATTAAAAAAACACATTCTATTTATACATGATAAATCTTAATTTTGTTTTGGATTGTTGTTTAGAGAAAAGAAAGAAAGGAGAAAGAAAGGGACTACAGATATACAGCTGTAATGAGAGCATTAGTATGGCGTTATATTTCTGTAAGCCAAAGACAATGTGATGAAAACCCTGTAACAGAAGATGATGTTAATGAAATAAAAGGAGAAATCTCGGCAATGAAATGTGAAATTTTAGATGTCTTAGAGAGAAACGGGCTAGATGTTTCTTCAGCTGATAAAAAAGAAAAAAGTAATGGACATGATCTGTAAATGTTATAAGTATTTACTAAAACATTATGGGGAATGGGGTATTGGTTAAAGCACTGGACACCTTAACCACTAGGTTCATGTCCATCCTCAACTATGACAGAAAATTTGGTTTTCTATACAATTAGTCTTGAATCGACGCTAGTTGGGAAGGTCCTCCTAATGTACACTTAATAAAACTGCAATAGTTCGGTTGTGATCTGAACCTGGTGGTTGAAAGTGATCAGGGCCAAATTATTCCTTTGGTCTGGATTGTAAAGCATTCTAAATTTATTTATTGTTTTATCTTCGGCTAAAAATAGATTTATATTTTAAACTGTATGAACAACTGTTTTTATAGAATTAGGTTGTATTACTATTTTGAAAGAAGTAAGAAAATCAGCATGGTATATTTAACGAAAATATAATTATTGAGTTTGAAAAAATTCATATTAAGCTAATAAATTGATCTAAGTAATGTTTTGAAAACTATAAAGACTAATTTTACAATTAAACACAATGTATTCAAAACGAAATAACAATTTACAAAGGAACTGCATGAAAAATGAAAAAATAAAAAAAATCCGATAAATGTCTCATTTCATAAATTTGAAAAGTAGATTATTTACAGTAAAAATAAAATTATGCTATTAAATTAAAATAAAGTCTAAAACTGCACAATAAAATCTAGTTTAAGAACCATAACCATTTTTTTTTTTTAATATAGGATGTATAGGAAGTTCACAATCACGTTTTTCTTCAATTCATTTTTTAATAAAATTTTTATTTACACTGGAACAAGTCCCTTTTAAGCTATATAAAATAATAAAATTATAGGCTTTTTAGAGTCTTGAATTTTTTTTTTCTTTATTTAGTATTACTAGTGTTTGCCCAGTGGGCGGAATTCGACCATAGCCATTAAAAATTTGAGGAAAAGATATAATTAAATAAAGTATATAAATAAAGAGTAAATCACAATTCAAAAATCCTCATTTATTAATACAAACGAAATTTCAGTTTCAATTAAAAATCGAGCTTAAGTCATTTAAAATTATTTATAAGAAATACAAAATATACTCATTCAAAAATATTTAATTTTCATTTTAATTTATGTGTGTTATTATCGCAATAAATTAATGTTATGATTAAGCAAGTATAAAATAAATTTAAATTCACTTTTTTTTTGTATTCATGATATTTACAACTGTATTAATAAATAAAATATATTTAGCAAAGTTGATAACAGAAAATAATAACATGAAATGAATTGTTGAGAAACTACCCACTGGTAGCACTCTAAAAACAAAATGTATTTACAATAAGAGATCTCGAGGCCATCTTCTTTTCAGACGCCTCGGAGGGTTATCGGGAATAGAAGAGGAAGCAAGGTTAGAGACGAGAGGATTCGGATGGTTCTGAAGTTTATTATGGAAGGATTGGTATCTGGATTGGGCCAAATCGGAAACATAAGGAATATTAAGGTCATTATGGATTATTTTATTTGTGACAAAGTAAGGAGCATTGAGGATTTTCCGAAGGATTTTGGATTGTAAGGATTGGATACGAGAGGAATTCGATGGCTTAGTGGAGTCCCAAAGCTCAACTCCGTAAGTCCAAATAGGTCTTATTGTAGTCATGTATATAAGTCTTTTGTAATTAACTGGAAGCTTAGATCGTTTGTCTAGTAAGTGTTGGAGTAGTCGGAAACGTCGAGCGGTTTCTTGTCGTTTCAGTCTGGTATGAGGATTCCAAGTTAGACGTTTGTCCAAGTGAAGTCCAAGGTATCGGATTTGTTCAACAGAGATAAGTGGGGTATTATTAAAGGATACAGTGATACATGAGGTCATAGGTTAAGGTCGAAGGGTAAAGGTGATTTGATGGGATTTATTAGAATTTATTTTAATCCTCCAGTTTTGACACCATTCTTCAAGTGTTGTGATGTGTGATTGAAGAGTTTGGGATGCAATGGTTGGGTCATTATTAACGGATAGGACACATGTGTCATCGGCATAAGTGGTAATAACAGTGTTAGGATGGGTTGGGATGTCAGCTGTATAAACTGTGTAAAGGATAGGACCAAGGATACTACCTTGAGGAACACCAGCGGACTGGGAAAAGAGGGATGAATAAGCATTATTGTGATTGACTTTGGAGTATCTATCAGTTAGATAGGAAAGGATAATAAGGAAGTATGTAGGATGTAGGAATTTACGGAGTTTGTAAAGTAGTCCCGGGTGCCAGACTCGATCAAAAGCCTGTTCTACATCTGCACAGCTGCTGTGTATCTATTGTACGGTCTTGGGAAAGATATATATTACAGATGGAAAAAGAAATATCTTTGTGAATTCTGACTGCACCAACTTGAAGATGGGAGTTGATATTGATTGGTTTGGAATATTCGGATTTGTGTATGGCTATTAAAACTACATGATTTTCTGAATGTAACGAAGTTTTTTTTATAGTAAAATTGTCTTTTATTGCAAGATGTGTTTCTTGAAGAGCGAGGCAAAATGGGTCCGTATCTCGTATCAGTATTTTCAGTTCATTAAAATGAATTTTTAACCCATTACAATTCCATTGAACTATTGGCATGTTCAGGGATTATAAATATATATACACATACACATACATACATACACTTATACATACACATATATACACGCATACACACATACACAGATACAAACACATACACACACTCAAATGCACTTACATACATACCAAAAATATATAGAACTGTATATATATATATATGCATACACATTTATGCAGGAATATAAATACGTACATCTGAATTTTGATATATTTATGTTGTATAAATGAATAAAGAGAAAAAAATAAAAAAATAGATAAACAAAAAGAGGTAACCGTTTACTTAAATATATTCTGAAAATCGGAGCACATGGCAGAATATCGGGGGAAAATATAGAGCTATCATGATACGAAATTGTCAGGAGTATAATATTGACCTTAACTTGATATATAAAAGTGTACACTTTATTTTTACATGCGATTATAAGTTTAAAAATAGTAATTTGTATATAATATATATTTGTAGAAGAATTATTAGTAGACAGAGTAAAAAGTAAGAGCATTGGACATAAAAAAGAATAAAACAGAGAATAATAGTACCTATTTTCATGATGAAATAGCAATAATAATAAGTTATGCTTATTTATTATTATGGAAATGAATGTTTGATAAATGTTTATTGATATATCTAGAGCGAGGATAAGGATTTTAGACGTAAACAGAGTTAATAATTAACAGGCGTTTATTGATAGTTCATTGTGTCTATTTTATTGTTTTGAATTTTGAATTCATAGTATTGTAGTATTTTAATTAGATGAAAATTGTTCCTTCGAAGGGTATATATAGATATTAGTTTTCAGGCAAAAATGAATGTTATAAAAATTTGTTAAAAAATACTTATGATGTACTTAAGTGAAAAGAATTTCGTAAGTCATTATACCTTTTTAGATTTGCGGTTGCCCTGTTTTTTATTAATTAACGTAATAAATTCTCCTTCTGGATTGATAACTAATTTATGGTCAGGATCATCGATATCTGGCGCAGCGACGTCAGTTCCGTGAGACGGCCCGGCGTCTTCAGAGTTGACGAGAAGAAGGGGGGGACCTCGGGTGCTGTCTTGATCGACTAAACGATCTTAGTCGCTAGAGCTCGGAGGTAGGAAGGGAAGCGGGATGGGGGGCAAGAAGGGGAACGGGAAGGGAGGTGGGGAGAGGGACGGTAGGGACGTGATTAAAGTTGTGGATAATAAAGGAATCAGTGTCTGTTGCTGTTTATTTATATTTTTAGTTGTATAATTTTTGTTATAGTTATTTTCTCTAAAGTTAAAAATTGAATCCGTTTGAATACCAATTTCTTTTTTTTCAGATATGTTTAGTTTTTGTTTCGCAATGTCGGCGAAGGTTTTGTTGAAGTGAGTTGGGTTTTGTTCTTTACATAATTTGTTGGCCTCGTTTAGAGAAATTTTATTTATAGTCTGTAATGTTTTGATTTTTTTTTTTTAATTTTAAAAATAGGGCACTCTTGAGTGTCCATTTCCGCAATTGGCACACCGCGGGGGCAAAGTGCATTTAGTGTTGTCGGTGTGTACACTGGTTGGTAGGGTGATCAAATGATTAGCAGCAAAAACATCTCAAGGAATTAGGAATGTACTGTTGGACTTTAACTGTATGGGATCCTATTTTATTGTGTCCGGTGTTCTCGGTGTTAAAAACGTAATTATATAGAATAGAAAATAATATTATTCTGGGACGAAGTCCCTTCAAAATAACCAAAAAATTACAAAATTAAAATGTTGTATCTGGCCAAATAAACACAAACATAAAAAGTAAAAGTAAAGCTAAATCAGTAAAGAAAATATTAGTTTTACATACTATATACAAAATAAAATTTTAAAAAATCTATATACAAAACTCTTGAACCTTGCCAAGACACTTAAAACTGTACAATTGTAAAATATGAATATATACTTTTAGAGAAAAAAAAAAAAAAGTCGAATCTGCTAATAAGTATTTCAGTTATGAGCTATATGTAAATACATTATTATGAATAATATGTAGTTTTTCATACACGGTTAGCGGGTATCTGACTGTTTTTGGGACAGGAATTGGAATAGGAGGGTTTTGAATGTAGACAGGGATGAAGAATGCCAAATTTTGATAGGAAGGAAATTCCAAAATTTAACAGAGCGAGCTATGAAGGAGTTTTGGAACGAGGCAGATCTGTGAGAAGGAATGTAAAGGTCGGAAGGTCGTATATATGTACGAGTTCGTAAGAATTTCATTACCATTTTTTTTGTATTTTAATACGAATTATGTCCTTTATTTGTTGTGATAACTCATTCTTCATTTCCTCGATTTCAAGGAATTGTAGATCATAACATCAAATTACTCCTCTACTAAAGCTAAGAGTATTTTGGAGAGACACATGAATTGGAAATTGATCACTAAAGTTAAAAGTTTTTCGAATTGGTTTGTAGTTTTTGTTTCGATCAATAATGGGCCATTTCTTAGTTTTTTTATATTTTTAAGATCTCCTACTCAACCTGTTAAGACGTATTAATAAAGAAAGGTGATACTTCCTGAAAATCATTTTCATCAGTTCTTTGTATGATGCGAAACGTTGGACTGATTTTTTTATAGCCGTATTGTCTTCCGTTAATAATTTAAGACGACCACGAGGCCGTTTTCTTTTAACCTTGGGGTTACCGAGGTCTATGGGGTCGCCCATAGATAAAATAAATGAAAAAAAATTAAATGTTTAAATATAAATAAAAAGAGACATAAACAAATATATATATATATATATATATATATGATTTTAAAAAGAATAAGCGATAAAAGAAATAAAATGATTTTTTTTTCTCATCTGTTAGCTGTGTTGATCTAGCAGAGCGACCTCTCTCTCCTAATTCCAAACACTGACTGATCAATAAAATATGTTAAAAGTAATAAAATTAATTATAAAACCAATAGTGTTAAATTTTAGTATTTTTACCATATATTTTATATTACGTTTTCACTTTATTTTCAGCTGTCCTTGGCAAAAAAATGAAGATGTGGGAGAGGAGACTTATGAAAGATTTTCATGTGGCACCTGTTGCACCTGAAGAAGAAATGGATCTTCTGCTATGTGAGCCTCCTCCAGATGAAGATAAGCTGTCAAAATTCAGAAGAATAGCAAAATTAGCTGTCCTTAGTTCAGCACAACAAAAGTGGGGCCAAGTTGTTAGGGGGGCATGCACAGCGTTAGTATTATTACAACAAATTCAATTTTAAATGTATATGTTGATTATTATAAACTAATTTTAAGATCAATATTTGTATTATTTTAATATTTAAGAATATTAAGTGGATTTTATTCACAATATTTCTCACTTCTTCTTCGGTGCATACTATTTATTTTCAAGTTTATTTATTATCAGCCAATTTTTAAATTTTGTCAACTTAATAACTACGCATCGCAATTACGACGTTTCGGCTCCGATCCGACGATCCGTCTCATTTCTATTCAGTGACGTTACTGAATAGAAATGAGACGGATGACATGTGGGTGACACGACAAAAATAATAAATTTTATTGTGAGTAGACGCATGCAATTCGCATAAGTGAAAAGGATAAGTACATGATGGGTATTTAGACTTGAAAATGGATCGAACGTCGTAATTGTGATGCGTAGTAATTAAGTTGACAAAATTAAAAAATTGGCTGATAATAAATAAACTTTAAAATTAAGTGGATTATTTTGATAAAAGAAATTTGTTAGAGATGCAGTCAAAGAAAAAGGTACGCAAAATATTGTATTTTCTTTGTGCCGAAGTTTTAGGCCAACCACCAGAGCTAAGTAAAATTAAAATTGAATTACTAGGTGAATTTAGTGAAAAATATGAGTAACACTAATATAGGTTACACACAATATAAACTAGCGCAACCAACAACCATAATAATACATAAAATACAATACCATAATACATAAAATAATAACACTAAACGTAAATGTATATAAGCAAAAGAACTAAACTAATCAAAATAACAACTAAAACACAAGCATACTTTTATAAAATATTTACAGAATACATATACTCAGGAGAACTCCGAGTCAAGCCTTTCTCCCCACTCGTGGAAGGCTTATTGGTACTAAGGACCTGTAGAGGCCGAAGAGAGTTTAATCACACATACTTAGATTGAATGTAGAATCTGGCCATTACCAAAACTCCAATATATGCTTATTCACAGAAGGTCTCTGGGAAACTGTCGCTTTAATCTTCGAAGAGGAGTGTAGGGATGGGTGGTGTTGGATAGGGATTGTGCAAGGGAATTTGGGTGATAGGTAAGGTTCTGGTGAAATTTGGAGAATTTTTCTGGGCTAAGGTCTAGGACAAATGGAATATTAAGGTCATAGTGTAGGGTTATGTGAGTTACATAGAATGGAGCATAAACTATTGTTCGAAGGACTTTAGATTGAAAGGATTAGATGCGTTTGTTATTTGAACATTTTGCTGTCCCCCAAAGTTTTAGTCCATATGTCCAAGAGGTTTGTCTTGTATATAAGTAATTTCTTTTCAATAGAAAGCTTAGATTTTCTGCTTAGTAGCCTGTATAGTTGGCCGGGTCGTCAGTTGAGTTATTGTCTTTTGAATCTAGTATGTGGGTTCCATGTTAGTCCTCGGTCTACATGAAAGTCAAGATAATGGACTGTGCTGAGAAAGGAAGCTGGATGGAATTAAAGTGTACTGGTTTACAGGAATTGCGTTGAAGTGTAAAAGTAATATGTTGGCATTTGTATTAATTCATTTCTGTGCTATGTCCAGAAATGCTCCCGAACGGTGTTCCTTTTCTTCTAGGGCTGAGGAAATATGATCAACAACTCGGAGTTCTTGAAGAACAATGTTATTTATCTATGGTATTTACAACTGTATTCAGAAACAAACACATTCAGTAAATTTGATAAAAGAAAATAATATCATGAAAACACTAGTTGAGAAACTAACCACTGGTAGCATTCTAATAACCAATGTTAAGAACGAAACCCAAACTGATGGGAAGGAATATTGTGGGATTTTATAATGGGTAGGATTCATTTCAAAAGGATCTTTTCAAAAAATTTTGAAAGGGTTGCGAGTAGGCTAATTGGTCTATAGGATGTCAAGTTGTTGGGAGGTTTGCCTAGTTTTGGGGAAACAATAACAATAGTGGAGTGTTTCCATAACAGAAGAAAGTGGGTGATACGTAGGATGCAATTGTAGATATATGTAAGGAATATGACTGCTTTGGTTGGAAGTTGTCGAAGGATTTGAGGGATAAGGAGATCATATCCACAAGATTTACGGGAAATTAGTTTATGTAATTGATATTTCACTCAGGAAGGATGAATTGCATTAGGGAGCAAGGAAGGTGGGATAGGTGATGTAAGGAGTTCTTCTACTGTCACGTTGTGGGGGTGATGGAATTCCGGATGTGAAATAAATGTATTGGATAGATCGATGGGGAACTCCTGGGCTTTATCTTCACCAGATGCTGCCCAGGAGCCGTCATCTCGTCGGAGGGGGTGGGAAATTTGTTGAGGGTTTAGGATTTTTGTAGTGGTTATCCAAAGGGAATTGACACGAGCAGATAGAGAGGATAGGTACGAGTTAAATGATTATAATCTGAAGGTGGCTAATTCCAATTTTAATTTTTTACAGTAATAATTATAGAAGCTGCAGCCGGTGGGATGTCTAGTGCGTTGCCTCAATAATCTTTTTTTTTCTCATTTTAATGAGGTATAATACATTTTACCACACTTAATGGTACTGAGTATTAAAGCTGTAAAGCAGATTCATACCATATTTACAATATAATAAAATTTAAAAAAATGAAATACATGAGAATAGATATATAAAAGATAATAATGTATATGTAACAAAAATAAAAACTGTAATAAAAACAAATAAATACAGCTTATAGTGAAATAATACAGAAAATTCATAAGAAAAAAATTAAATTAATATTAATGATAATAAATTATTAGAGTTGAGTAAATAAATAAAAAAACGAAAACAAAACTAACAGTCATACTTATTTACAATCAGCCAAGAGAGCTCCGAGTCCCCCCTTTTCCCCTACCTGTAGAGGTCAAGACCAGGCTCTACGGGATCCCAGCGCTACTCTCTCAGCCACGTCACCGGAGTTAGAGTCCAGTGAAGACTAAGAGAGAGCACTACAGCCACAGAAGCTCATGATTTGAGTGGATAAACTGGCCAGTGCCAGAACTCCAATGACATATTCACGAAAGATCTCGAGGCCACTGTCGTTTCAATCTTCGAGGAGGATTGTAGGGATGACTGGAGCTGGATAAGGATTGTGCTAAGTGGATTATATTCAGGTGAAAATTTGAAAATCGGGATGGAATAACATCAGGAATTTAAAGGTCATAATGTAAGATATTGTTCGTGACCTAATAAGGAGCATTGAATATTATACGGAGGACTTTAGACTGGAAGGATTGGATGCGTTTGATGTCCGAAAAATTGGTTGTCCCCCACAGTTCAAGTCCGTTTGTCCAGATGGGTTTCAGAATGGTCTAGTATATTAATAGTTTTTTTCAATTGTGAGGTTAGATTTTCTTTTAAGTAGTCTGTATAACTGGGTAAATCTCCTGTTAAGTTCTTGTCTTTCAAGTCTGGTATGTGGGTTCCATGTTAGTATTTTGTCTAAAATGAATCCAAGATACCGAACTGTGTCTGAGATGGGAAGAGGTACTGAGTTGAAAAGGATATGTGGAAAGTGAAGGTTAAAGGATACATGCTTGATTTTTATGCACCAATTGTTGCACCACTGCTGTATTAGAGAGATGTGTCTTTGTAAATTTAGGGAAGCTGTTTCAGGGTCTGGGTGGGATGATATGATGGCGGTATTGTCAGCGAATGTTGCTAGAAGGGTATCAGGATGATTCGGGATGTCGGTTGTGAAAAGGATATAGAGAACTGGACCTAAGACACTGCCTTGTGCAATACCAGCCTCAATTGGATAATAGCTGGAGAATTCAGTGCCGCAGCGGACTTGAAAGGTAGGATTTGAGGACTAGGTACAAGGATTGGGGTAAATGAGTTTTGAGCTTGAAAAGCAAGCCATCATGCCACACCCGGTCGAAAGCTGCGCTACATCCAGAAAGGCAACTGTGCAATATTGCTTGTTTTCAAGCGCAGAGGATAAATGGTCAACAACGCGAAGGCCTTGTTAAACACTGGAATGTCATGAGCGGAAACCAAACTGATGGGAAGGGATATTGTGGATTTCGAGAATGGGCAGGATACGATTGAGATAAAATCTAGTAGAGCGCTAGATGTGGATTAGGTCAAGGAGGTATTGATGTAGAATAGTCTTTTTAGGAATTCTTGGGGAGTCTTTTGAAGAGGAGGCAGTCCATACCGGTTTTTAGATTGTGGTAGTAAAGAAATTGACGGCACTATCTAGGTCATTGGGTTTTATTTTTGCGGTATATTGAAATCAATTTTATCGGAGAATAATTGGCGGGAAAGATCCCAGTTAACTGGGTCCCTGATAATTGACAGTGGAGAAGGTTTGGGAACGGGTTCAAGTGAAACATGAAGAATTAGAGGACTATAATCAGAGGAAAGTTCATTTAGATGTGTAAGTGAACAATTGAGGGGACCTGTGGCCCCTGTGGATAAAGAAAGCAAGTATATTAAGATTACGGTTAGGATCTGTGGGCTTGTAGGTAGAATAGTTGGGGAAAATGAAGTGAAAACCTTAAGAATTGAGTGCGGAAAGCAGAGTTTGGCCACGAGAATTCGTGGTTCTGGAACCCCAATGTTGGTGTTTGGCATTTAAGTCTGCACCCAAGATGAAGTGACGTCGTAAGGATTCGAGAAGAAACTGAATTGGGAATTGGATATGAATTGGTTAGGAGGGCAGTACGCTGATGCAACCTTGACCGGCAGGGACTTATGGTGTTTTGATTACGATAGTGGTAGATTGTAGGGAATCTTGTGTAGGTAATGTAAGTAGATGATGGGATAGGGATTGGTGTACAACAGCAGTACTGGCATGTGCTCTTCCGTCAGGGTGGTCAGGACTATATGTCAGGTATTGAGGTATTATGAAGAGCTGATTAGTGGTTAGTCGAGTTTCAGTAATTAGTGCCACGTAAATGTTCTTGTCAAGTATTAACGCAGAGATAGTTCGTCTGTATGATTTCTAACACCATTCGCATTCCAAAGGAGAATGGATATAGGTTTATTGGAA